TTTATAAGCTCAATGCTCGCCTTGCTCTGTGATTCGCGTTTGTGACTCTCCTGTTCAAACTCATTCATCAAAATGAACGAATCTTTTTTCGTGTCATTTGGTTCATTCAACGAAGGAAATGAATGAGTTGACTCGGGAAAATATTCCAAAAGTTTGAAAAGTTCGAATAGGAGAGTCACGTACGCGCATCACAAAACAGAGCAAGGTGACCATTTGAGCTTATAAAACGTAATTTTTTTTTTTTTTTTTAATGAGGAATCATTTCGCTTGATAAGACTCTTATTCATCGTCTGGAACCGTTTAAAGCCCTTTGAAGCTGCACTAAAACGCTCATTTGGATCTTGAACCGTTTGGTTCCCATTGAAGTCCATTATATGGAGAAAATCCTGGATTGTTTTCATCAAAAACCTTCATTTCTTTTCGACTGAGGAAAGAATGACATTGATATCTTGGATGACATGGGGGTGAGTAAATTATCAGCAAAAGTTTTTTTTTTTAAAAGTGAACTACTATTTTAACCTTTCCTCAAAAAAAAAAGAAAAAAAAAACGTTAATGGAAATGCAGTTTTAAATAAACTTTTATATGTATTGTGCATTTGTGAGAGTACACAGGCTTTTAAATTGTCATTAAAACCTATTGTTCAGAAGTCTCAGAATGAACGTTGATGGTGTCTCTACTGTTGGATTGGCACATTGTGTATAGAGACCCTTTTCAAACAGACATATTGATTCAAGAGGGTTATGCATGTAATCTTCTTTTCAATAATTCACTGCCTTTTATACAGTTGTAGATCAATGGATGCGCTCATAAACTCTCCTCCCCTTTCATTCTCTCCTCTGTCAAATCAGTCCGGCACAATCTTTCCTTTCATCCTCTGTTCCCTCTACATCTGTCCATCACTCTCCCCAAATGAAGAAGACAAGTTAAATACACATTAACCTGTGACGCGGTCAACAATCTGTGAAAATGCTTCATTCTCCGGAAACGGTGCCATTGGTCCCTTGGGAATTACTGCTGATTTCATTAGCAGCACACTGAACTAACATTACGTTATTTGAAAGATATGACTCTAAAGACACTTTTTGTGCCGGCGTCACTATTACGTCACGGCGTAAGCTGGAGGCAAAACAAAGGGAAAACTGGAGCCGGCCACTACAAATCAGCTAGTTCATCAGCTATTCATATTTATAGTCGGCTAAATGAAAAGATTAAAATGTCATCTTGCTGTGTTGGGTGCCAGAATCGGCTGAGTACACAATCCAATTTCAAATGTTCACACATTGTGCCTGACAAAAAAAAAAAAAGACAGCTGTGGTTTAGGGAAGTGACGATGAGGATATTTTCCCACCGGTTATCCCGGTATCTCCGGCGTTTTTTTTTTTTTTTAATTTCGCTAATTTAAAGGCAAAACTAAAATTCATTCATTATGGTGTAAGCGTATCATCCATCCATTGAGTAAGCGTGTACTGGTCGGCCAATCTAATTCTGTACATTAAAGTTAACTTTTCCAAATAATAAGCGCGGTTTCGGACCATGTGTTCTTACATATTCAGACAAAATTGGATTTTCTCCAGTCATAGTTAAAAAAAAAACAAGCTAACAAAACTTGCAAGCTACTTTAGCGTTAGTGAAGTGGCCAGGGCAATCGTTCTGCCTCTACCTAAGCTCCGCCCACAAAAAACGTCACAATGTTTACTAACTGAAAAGGGGTCTATAGTGTGTGCAAAAACTAAAATGACTATTTTAAACTGTTTTAAAGCATCCTTGTTACATGTCTTCATATATTACAGAATTATTACACCCTGTAAACTTTGACCGAGTTATGAGAATGTACTACCCACGTTCAAGTTATCGACTGTTGGCAGTAGAGCGTTTAGCATTTCAGTTCCTAAGCTTTGGAACATGCTGTCTCAAAACCTCCACACTTACTCTTTACTCCAGGCCTTTAAGTGCTACTACTGTTTTTTTCTTCCTTTTTATCTCTTGTAATGTCTCTCATCCACCTCTCTTTCTGCAGTCTTTCTTCAAATCTACTTCTAGCTCTCTCTCACTCCTCCCCCATCATGAGTGGACACACCCCCTACTGCTGATTGGCGTTCTCTCTCACTCCTCCCCCATCATGAGTGGACACACCCCCTACTGCTGATTGGCGTTCTCTCTCACTCCTCCCCCATCATGAGTGGACACACCCCTACTGCTGATTGGCGTTCTCTCTTACTCCTCCCCCATCATGAGTGGACACACCCCCTACTGCTGATTGGTGCTCTCACTCCTCCCCCATCATGAGTGGACATGCCCCATACTGCTGATTGGTGCTCTCACTCCTCCCCCATCATGAGTGGACACGCCCCCTACTGCTGATTGGTGCTCTCTCTCCTCCCCATCATGAGTGGACACGCCCCCTACTGCTGATTGGCTCTCTCCTCCCCATCATGAGTGGACACGCCCCCTACAGCTGATTGGCTCTCTCCTCCCCATCATGAGTGGACACCCCCTACTGCTGATTGGCTCTCTCCTCCCCATCATGAGTGGACACGCCCCCTACTGCTGATTGGCTCTCTCCTCCCCATCATGAGTGGACACGGCCCCTACTGCTGATTGGCTCTCTCCTCCCATCATGAGTGGACACGCCCCCTACTGCTGATTGGCTCTCTCCTCCCCATCATGAGTGGACACGGCCCCTACTGCTGATTGGCTCTCTCCTCCCCATCATGAGTGGACACGCCCCTACTGCTGATTGGCTCTCTCCTCTCCATCATGAGTGGACACGGCCCCTACTGCTGATTGGCTCTCTCCTCCCCATCATGAGTGGACACGCCCCCTACTGCTGATTGGCTCTCTCCTCCCCATCATGAGTGGACACGGCCCCTACTGCTGATTGGCTCTCTCCTCCCCATCATGAGTGGACACGGCCCCTACTGCTGATTGGCTCTCTCCTCCCCATCATGAGTGGACACGCCCCTACTGCTGATTGGCTCTCTCCTCTCCATCATGAGTGGACACGGCCCCTACTGCTGATTGGCTCTCTCCTCCCCATCATGAGTGGACACGCCCCCTACTGCTGATTGGCTCTCTCCTCCCCATCATGAGTGGACACGGCCCCTACTGCTGATTGGCTCTCTCCTCCCCATCATGAGTGGACACGGCCCCTACTGCTGATTGGCTCTCTCCTCCCCATCATGAGTGGACACGGCCCCTACTGCTGATTGGCTCTCTCCTCCCCATCATGAGTGGACACGCCCCCTACTGCTGATTGGCTCTCTCCTCTCCATGATGAGTGGACACGGCCCCTACTGCTGATTGGCTCTCTCTCTCCATGATGAGTGGACACGCCCCCTACTGCTGATTGGCTCTCTCCTCTCCATCATGAGTGGACACGACCCCTACTGCTGATTGGCTCTCTCCTCTCCATCATGAGTGGACACGGCCCCTACTGCTGATTGGCTCTCTCCTCCCCATTATGAGTGGACACGACCCCTACAACTGATTGGCTCTCTCTCTCCTCTCCATCATGAGTGGACACGCCCCCTACTGCTGATTGGCTCTCTCCTCTCCATCATGAGTGGACACGGCCCCTACTGCTGATTGGTGTTCTCTCTTACTCCTCCCCCATCATGAGAGGACACGCCCCGTACTGCTGATTGGCGCTCTCTCTTACTCCTCCCCCATCATGAGTGGACACGCCCCCTACTGCTGATTGAAGCTCTCACTCACTCCTCCCCCATCATGAGAGGACATGCCCCATACTGCTGATTGGTGCTCTCACTCCTCCCCCATCATGAGTGGACACGCCCCCTACTGCTGATTGAAGCTCTCACTCACTCCTCCCCCATCATGAGAGGACATGCCCCATACTGCTGATTGGTGCTCTCTCTCCTCCTCCATCATGAGTGGACACGCCCCCTACTGCTGATTGGCTCTCTCTCTCCTCTCCATCATGAGTGGACACGCCCCCTACTGCTGATTGGCTACAAGTTTATTGTGGTGTCAGATCCACTTTCAACATTGTTTCTCAGAAATCGCTTACTCTACTTTTAAAGTGAAGAGGACACAGTATGCTTGTCCACAAAATTATAGGTCAGGCAACACTAGCCGCCCCATGAACCACATGACACTGATGATGTCCCAAACAAACACTAATGCCTGTGCTTCTAAACAGGACCAACGGTGAGAGATCTTGAGAAGGAATGAGAGGGAATATGTGATAAAGATTTGATTTTAGAATATAAGCATGATAATTGATAAGGAGTAAGGTCAGGTGTGTAGAGTGACCCTTAAAGGGCCAGGCGTGCGTTTAATATTCAGGGTGTGGAGCTCAGGGAGGTGAGTGTACATTCAGAGAGTCAGGACCCCACTGTGACCTCTCTCCATTATTCATCCCTTAGAAAAAAAAAATAGAAATGGAAACTCAATTCCACCCAGGAGGAGAAAAGCATCCCTTTAACTCCAGTGCATGGCACTTTGACCCTGTATTAGAAAGGCTGCAGAAAACCCAGGAAATGTTGGACGTTACATTTTTAAACCCTCCCTAGGGCTCATTTTAAGGGCCAACAGGACGGCCTACATCCAGAGAGAGGGAGGCAGGACGGTAGAAGTGAGAAGGCACTGTGATCTCTCCAGATGTGTTCAGACGTAATGTGTGCTCGACATGAGTGTGTGAACTGTACATTCAACATCTTGAGGATACGAATCAAAGGACACACAATATCCACTGGTGAATGTGTGTTTACTCTTTCTGAATTGCCCAACTGACTCAACTCAGGTGGGGAACTAACAAGCAACACCTTTTAGTAAAAAGACAAAAGCAAAAATTATAGAGGAAATGTAAAAAAAAATGGAATGGGACAAATGAAAGAGTAAAAGTTACGAAAACCCAGGCAATCGTGTGGGAGCCGGAGAAAGACCTCTCTGCTATTCCAAGGCATTTGCTGAACATTCATTTTGGATCCAGATATCAAAGTTTCAGGAAACACTGAAGGGGGAGAGGAGCACAACTTACCAGATGTTCTAATCCAGCTTTGATGTTCCCGGTTTCCCTGCAACAGAAGAACACATTTGCTTGGCTGTAAATAACGCATCTCATCACCCCTTTCTCCACCTCTCACGCTTCACCCATAATCACTGTTTTTAACGCTGCACTGTATGTACCCCGTTCCAGGAGGACTTCTTTTCAAAATGACAATACAAGTGAAAAGAGTTTGAGTGGAAATCAAAAATGCCGCGGTTAAGGACAGCTGGTCTTCATGGGAATAATGATGCACACAGATGCTGTGTGGGTGTGTGTTTACGTTAAATAACCATTCATTGTGTCTCATTAATCCATTCATATACATGCTCAAAGTAAGGATTCATGCAGAGTGCGTCACCTGACAAGAAAGGACAAATATTCAATACGGTATTTGAGTTGACAGAAAGCAGTTTATAAAGATACGGTTTTTCTTTATTATTTAAAATGCATGTTTTTGCCATTAAAATGCATTTACAATGGAAGGACTAAACGGTCAGTTCTTTTCAATGAACTCAAACATGTTCTCATGTCTCAAAAGCTGACAGAAAATACTACACATACCATATTTAGTCTTCTGTGTGCTAAAACTGTCTGGTTTACTGTACATCATCATGATTGTTTATGCTTTGACAACAGTAACACCATACAATTCACTGACTTAAACTAGCACATGATATTTAAAAAAAAAAGTTTTATATATATTAAACACTACTGTTCAATAGTTTACTTCATTTCATAGGTTTTTTTAACCATTTTCAATATTGGTAATAATAAATGAGCACCAAAATCAGCATATTAGAGTGATTCTATGTGACACTGAACACTGGAGTAATGATGCTGGAAATACAGCTTTGCCATTACATGAACAAACTACATTAAAAAATATATCACAATTAAAACCAATTGTTTAAAACTCTATTATTTCATAATATTACCGTTTTTATTGCAATTGTGAGGGAAAAAAATGCAAATTTCTGTGGCTCTCAGAAGCCAAATTCGTCATAATAGGAGAAACGTTGATGAAAAAAATGCAGCATTGGTGAGCATAAACTTGATGCCGTCATAAACTTCTAAAGCGGGGAATGGGAGATGACAGCAAATATCATTTTTGCATTTCCATTTGCTCCAAAAGCATGAGAAAACAAATCTGTAAAAGAGTAGCATGACTTTACAAGAGGGGGGAAATGCAGAGAGATTGATTACGTTGGCCAGAAGAGAGAGAGAGATCACTCCCTCAGCTATTGTATTAGAAACACCCTTGGAGAAGCATTTTTGCCAGATTATCCCTAAAACCGTATTCTGGACAAATGTGGGCAAAATAGTTTTGATTTATTTTTTAAAAATACTTCCCTTGATCTGAGCGCTACAAGACTTTTGCCTCCTGAACACACCTTTTTTTTTTTTTTACTCAATTCTAGAATGTTAAGTGCTCATTAATCTTGTTTTGGGGTCAAAAATGGGCACCCATAGAAATGAATGGGAAAAACTGTAATTTAGAGCATTCTAAAATAAGCCAAAATAAGACACCAGGTGACAGCAAAGTCACTTCATCTTTAGGTTTTAGCTCTAAGAACTTCTTGGAATGATATTTTAATGTAGTTAAAAAAAAAACATAAAAATAAGCATAATTTACATAGAAAATATGGTACTTTTTGAAGTAAATAAATAAAAAAAAATACCCCCAAAATTAAAAACCCTCCATAAATGGATATACAAAACTTTATCGAAGACAATGATAACATTTATAATAAATAAAAATTAGGATCACGAGTCCTCTGTGCCCACATTTGCCCACAATTACAGGATTAAGGGCTATAAAGTGAATACGGATTGAGGGCTACAAAGTTAAATAACATAATATTTAGCATCATAAATGTACATAACATGTGGAAAACTATGCTAGATTTGCAGAAACGCATCATCACAGTCCAAGAAAAGGGTTATTGCGCCTCTTTATTTCTCTGTGCACAATTACACCAAACTAAAGTCTAAAATACTATAGTATTGTCTGTGGGTGTGTAAAGAGGAGGTAAAAGACAAAAGAGAGACAAAGCAGCATAGTTTGTAAACATGATGTTCACCAGCCAATGGCAGCGCAGAAATGGCTCCGGTGGTTAGGGACACAAAGCCTAATGTGATACCTTCTCCAGGAGCGATTCACTGCTTCCTCTCTGTCTCTGATTGCTTTTCTACATCTCAGCACAGAGAGGCCAGTGCAAGCTAACAAACAGCAGGTCATTGTTGAGACGCACGAGTCAGGGGTTTGGCTAAAAACAAGTTACCGTGGTGACAGGAAGCTGTAATCCTTTAATAAGAACAATTAGCAGAAAACAATTACTTACAAAAGAGACAATATCACTCCCTTTCCTTTCCCCTCATCACACTAATTCTGTTTTCTTTTCATAATCACTTATTCAATTTCACCAGTGCTTATTATCTTTTTTTTTTGGTCATTTAGCAGCTTCCCCTGTCTATGGCTAAACGACTGTGTTCTTCTAATTGTATCTTTCTCTCTCTGTGGCAAACGTCTGCTCTGAAAAAATAAAATAAAACATCCCAATTCAATTATAACCTTCAAACCGAATCACAACACTGCTGAGTGCAGACACATGAAGACATTATTGGCAAATGAATATAAATTTGTATTGAACTGGTACATCTTCACCTTTTCATTTTTTTTTTAGCTTCAATGTTTTTTTCCTCTACAGATGTTGTCCATTTCCTGCAGGTCTGCGGGGAGCACAGATCTCCCATCCCTCTCTCCGGACGCCCTGAACATGCTCGCATCGATTTCTGAATTACAGTGCAATATTAAATAATTAATATACTTGCCATGATCGATGTTTTGCCTTAGCCCAATATTACATTATCAATCAAACTCGGTTTAATGTAATAATATTGAAAATGTGTCAGGGGTTGTTTGGCTGGTTTACAATTTGTGTGCGAGAGAAGCATGTCATGGAGCATTTTATATTGTTTAAATGGACAGTGGTGGAAGATGAAACAAGATCAGTGGAACTATCATCCACTTATAATGATCTTAATAAACATAAACTTACTCCAGTCAAAACACTGGCTTGTGCGCAACAGTGAAAGACATACGCACTGGTCACCAAACCTGACAACATCTTCAAAAACAACACATTTCAAAACTTGGGAATGGATTTGTCCTTTTTTGGTCCCACTTTATATTAAGTGGCTTTAAGTACTATGTACTTACATTGAAATTAATAATTTGATACAATGGAGTTATTGTGTACATAGATGTTTTTACATTGTACTTATATTTTAAAAATACCAGCATGTAATTACAGCTATAATTACTTTATGTAATTACATAGTTGACCCTCCCCTCACACCTTAACTTACCCTTAAACGGACCCATACCACCACACCTGTCCCTAACCTTACCCGTATCACACCTCAATAGCAGCAAATGTGTTTTACAATACAACAGGAACAAAATAATACATTGTACTTATTGTTTAATGTAAGTACATAGTACTTAAAGCCACTTAATATAAAGCGGGACCCAATTATTTACTACAGGGGGACAAGACCCATTTAAACATTATTCAAAACTGAATTCTTTCAGTCTTTGTGCCTAAAAAAAATGACAAATCCATTCCCAAGTTTTGAAATGTGTTGTTTTTGAAGATGTTGTCAGGTTTGGTGACCAGTACGTATGTCTTTCACTGTTGCGCACAAGCCAAAGTAATCTTTGATCACCAAAATGACATTTCTTTTAAAATCTTAAAACTGCTTGAATGAAACGACACCCTTGCCTCATTTAGTATACGCGGTTCTATGAATATGCAAATGAGCCCTGCCTCCACTCACTCACTCACTCACTCAGAGATTCACTGGTTGACTGGTTGTTTTGTGGCGTCAGAAACACCAGCGATTTCACACTGTGTGTTTGAGACTGTCTTTGGTTCACCGCAGGTTTAAAGAGGAAATACTCAGCAATGCTGTCCACTTATGAACTTACATATACTTTGTCTTAAAGCAGATTAAAAAACACCAAATACATATATACATATATATACATATACAGTTTACCAATCAGTATACACATATATATATATATATATATATATGTAAACAACATTAAAAGCTGGATTTTCACCACAGGGGAACTAAGTTTTAGATTTATCCAATTGAGTTTATGGTTACTGTTTTGATAAATGTGTTTTTAGCTTTTCAGAAAATGTGAAACAGATCATTCTTTGGTGAAAATCCTACGCTTCGTGAAGCAAATACACACAATTAAGTTTTGAAATAGCTAGAGCGCAAGGTTTCAGATGTCTTGGAGCATTGTGCACAAAAGTTCTGAACTATGAACTATGTGGATGCAGGAAAAAAACACATTTACATGTATCATGGCCATGATTTAGGAATTTGTTCTCTCATTTTAGTAAATTGTGGGCAAGTTTAGCAGAGTCGGTCCCTCGTTTTGATTGAACAAAAATAAGGGAACAAATTATTACAATGTGGCCAGGATTTAGTAAAACGAGGGAATGAATTAGTGAAACATGCTAAAGTTTTAGTAAGTGGTGGGAACGATTGTGGCCAATATATGTATTCATCATATATTTTTGACATGTGGGGATCTTTAGGTTTAGAATGACACAAGGGTAAGCAAAAACAGTATTTTGGGTGACCAATTATTTCAAATGATCCAAATTTGAATAGGACAGGAACTTCAGTGCACTTCCTACACTTCACCTTTAAAATTGTAAAGCGACTAAGGTAAAAGACAGAGAGAGAGAACCTAAAAACAAAGAGAGCTAATAAAGAGGAAATCGGTCAATGAACGAGGAGTCAGCATGAAGGACGGGAAAACAAATGTTCCCTCTGCATGGCTTCCCGTAAAGAGGTCATTATTTATCTCGACTTAATTAAGTAAAAGAGGACAAACAAGTCAAAGTGTTAACAGAGCTCGATGCAATGCCAGCCATTTGCTTACAGGTCAATAGTGCCAAATAGGAAACGTCTGACCAATCTGTCAAATTCAAGAGGCCCTGA